ACCCATCCCTAGTTCAGACCAGTATTAAAAGGGTTGGCACCCCTTTACTTTACACATACACACATCACTGAAGTCCGCTCAGCAGATTACTGGTCCTGGTCGTCCCGAGGTCCAAGTTAAAGCATAGCAGAGACTGGGACTGGGATTTAAAATGCTCACAAATTGTGAATCTCCTTCCTCTGCTAATCAGGAAACATCAGAAAAACATTTTCAAAACCACTTTTTGTTGCTTGGTTTTTAACCCCACCAGTCAGCTGCATGTCTTTGGACTGTGTGGGTAACCGAGAGAGAACCCACACAGACACAGGAAGAACATGCAAAATGGTGAGTGGTTATCAGTCTCTTTGCTTTAGCCCTGACGCAGACTGGCTACCTGTCCTAGGTTGACCCCATCTCTCAAGCTGGAATGTAACACTCTCAACCCCAAATTGGATAAGCAGAAGAAAATGGGTTTTTAAAACCCAGCTGAGTTTTGCTTACTGCTAGCACTACTATATGCATATAAACAGTCTTTACAGATGTTGTGCATGCAGATGTTTTAGCAAATAAAGCAGCTGTCAGAAAAAAAAAAGTCAAGCAGCAAACAGCAGGGAGACTTAGCTAGACTCAAAGCAGCTCTCTGGTTTCCTGAGGATTATTAAGAGACAGATGCCTGAAAAGAGAATGAAAAGAAGCACGACTCCAGATGAATTTGAATGTTTCTCAGTCTGCTGGGTGTTTAAGTTGGTCATATCAACTTGAATGATGACAATATGTTGTTGCTGTTTTCACAGATTTTTTTTCAGCTACCCCTGAGTGGCCAAAAACAGTTACAGCAGACTCTAAAGGCCCTACATGACCGCACATGTGTTTTTACTCATCTTGGTAGAATCAACCTCTGGGCAAAGCTATGCCGAGCAATATAGGACTATGCACCCACACACCCCTATGAAGTCTTTTGATCATCCAGTAGACAAGTAAAAGAAATTACCTGTGTGGCTGTATCGTGGCTGTGGCCTTTGATTTCTTTCTTTCATTGCTGCGTTTAGAGCAACAGATCATTTATGTTGAGCAACGCGCGTCAGTCTAGACATCGTTTAGTCATGGGATTAAAGAAAATGTGCTGATTGCGTTCACATTTCACAGCTAACTGCCATGACAAACAAAATCATACTTTTACAATGCAGCTTAGAGGTTTTAAATTAAGTTTCACAGACGTGAATAAAGTCGTGCTACGCTAATCACAGAGCGACATGGGTGGAGACGCATTTTTAGGAAAGTTTTAACAAGAGCTTGGCGATAAATGCCCCAGAAACTACAGTGACAACGGGGACACAATTACGGCGATGGTCACCGCTCGATTCGGAATAAAGTCTGTTTCGTGATTGGCTAGAATCTGAAGAGAAAGTTAGTTTGGCAACGTGAGAAGGGGCACCCAAGGGAGAAGTGGAGTTCCCAGGGCATTTTGTGCTTTCAGAGAGGGAGGCCACCAAGAGGGAGGGGTGGTATTCTGCTGAAATTCCCAGGACGACCAGTGCTCACTGCTAAAACACACACACACACACACACACACACGCACACACACACACGCACACACACACACACACACCCGTTCAGCTATCTTCGTGAGGACCTTCATTGACATAATGGTTTCCCTAGCCCCTTACCCTAACCATCAAAATGAATGTGGTTCTCACAAGTATAGTAGAATGCAGATTTTGGTCCTCACAAAGATAGCTAGAC